GGGGAGGGGGCTTCCCCCCTGCCACTGCTGGAGGGGCTTTGGGACTTCCGATGCCCTGAGCCTCCACGGTCCTGGACCCCTCCCCCGTCAGTCCCAACAGGGAGCCCACAGCCCGCGGTGGCGGGCTCCCCTGCAGGCCCCACCCAGGCCCAGGTGGGCTCCCAGAAAGGGCAGTTGCTGGGGCGGGGGCTCTACCCTCCTCCTCCGGCATCATTTTTAACACCCGGGGCAGCCTGGTGACTTCAGCAGTTTGGCATGCTGGCTTCTCCGCCCTGCCCTGCCCCTCCCTGGCCCCGCTGTGGTCCTGCGGCTGTGGGGTGGCCAGCGGGGGTCCTCCCGCAATCCCACACCCAGTTCACCCGGCCTCCCCTGCCGCCTTCAGTCCCCTCTCCCCCACCCCTGCCCTCCTGGCTGAGGCCCCGGCTGGGCTGTCACCCACCTTGTTCAGGACGTCCTTCTGGGAGCCCAGGTAGAGGTGTGGCAGAATGCGGGTCAGGCCCACGCTGGGCACGGGCAGGCAGGGCTGGGAGAGGCTCACGGGCAGCAGGGCGGTGGGCTTGCCCTCGCAGAGGCCGGGGAAGCAGGAGGAGAAGGTGGCGAAGCCCCCTGCAGCGGGAGGCACGGGAAGGCATGTCAGGTGGCCGCGGGGCAGGGAAAACATCTGGGTGTCCGTCCCCGCAGGACTCAGCCACTCCTGCCCATCAGAGCCTGCCCTCAACTTAGCTCCCAGCCGCCGGCGAGCACCTGGTCCGTGGTGGGAGAGGGTGGCATGGCCACAGCCCCATGCCTCCACCCTCATACCTCCTCTGCCTGACAGAGGCCACCGGGCTGGGGACGCTGCTGCGATGCCCATAAACATGGAGCAGGTTTCCTGGCGAGGGTGTGGCCCTCACGGCCCCTCTGTGCCAGCCGCCAGGGGCAGGCTGGGCCTTCCCCCCCGTGCTGATGCAATCCAGCTCCCTGCAGTTGGCTGGGAGCCCCAGGCCAAGGCTTGGGATTCTGAGGGGCCCTCCCCTCCTGGTATGACATCACCCCCTGGAATGGGCACAGCCCGCAGGGGCATTTGTGGTCAGGCTGTCGCTCCACTCTACCCAGTGGGAAAGGGTGCGGAGATGAGGAACCCCCCCGCACGTGACCAGCGTACGCCCCGCCGCCTTTACACACACGCAGTTCTTGGCTGTGGGCTGGGGGAAGGAAGCCCTCCGCGCTCCCCTGGCTGGGAGCCCCCGAGTGTGAGTCCTTGGCATGTCTGACTCAGTGACCACGGGCAGCGCACGCCACGCCTCTGGCCTCGGCTTCCTCATCCTGCTGGCCACACAGCATTGCTGGGAGGCTCAGAGAAGACAATGGCCAGGGAGACACAGGGAGCCCGGGCTTGGGTGCACCTGGCCTGACTGGGTTGACTCAGCCAGAAATGGGGCGGTACCCAGTGGCAGCTGCCCGCGCTGGAGGGTGAGGTGGGAACGGTTGGGTGCCACCCCAGCCAGCTGCACTCTGGGGACACAAGTCCCCATGCAAGTGGGCTCCTGTCCGTGGCCTCAGCCCACCCATCCAGCCCAGGGACGGCTGGGCCAAGGCTCCCCTATATTCCAGGAGGAGGCAGGAGGTGAAGCAGGGTCTGGACCCAGGGACCCCCAGGGCTCTTTCTGCTGTGGTCTGCAGAAGAGGCTGGTGCCAGGGCCCTGAGGGGTCCCGAGGACTGAGGTCTGGTCTCTCAGGGCTGACCAGGTGGCTGGTTTGTGCACACCCCCCACAAGCATGCCTGCCATGTGAACTCCCGGTGCCCCGAAGGGGGCTGGACTCAGGGGGCCCTAGGGAGGGGGCATCTCCAGGCTGGGTGAGTCAGGCACCAGCCTGGGAGGGGAAGTCCCCGCCTTGAGAACCTGGCCAGACGGGGAGAAGCAGGCGGCCACTGTCACCCGCGATGCCACAGCTCACGGATTTCTGAGTGCAGGCTGAGCTGCGTGCCGGGGCGCTGCGGGTGGGTCCTGAGCCCGGTCCCCTGGCTGTTCCTGACAGAGGAACGTCCCCTAGAGGGCAGGGTGTGCACCATCTCCAGCAGACTCCTCTGGCATAGGTCTCCCTGCCTCCCCCCATGCCCTTCCCTCCACGCTCTCTGGTTGGGGGGGTAGATACCCCTCCCTCCTCCCCACCTCCGCCATGCCCTTCTCTCCGAGCTCTCGAGGGCCTGGTCAAAGGGGGTGGGTGGGTTCCATGAGAACCATCCCCAGGTTTCTTCCCAAGGAGGAAGATGGGAAGGTCTCTGGATGAGGGGCAGAGGCCTGACAGCCTCTGAGGCCATTCCTCAGGGAGGCGACCCAGGACGCCACAGGCAGAGCCAGGCTGCATGAGCGCCCTCCGTCCCCACCCTGTGGACGTCAGACCTGGCAGGGACTGAGGCACCAAAGATGTCAGGGCTACCCGGGCTCTGGGAGTGGATGGCGGGGTGGGCACCAGGGTTGAATGAGGGACCCCCGCTTCCCCTGTACCCTCGCTTTGAGGGGTGGTGGGGCACCACTGCTTGACGGTGACTTACGGTGAGATCCCAGTCATGCTCAGCACGGCTGGGAGGCTCAGAGAAGACAGACGCCTCCCCACGAGCAGACCCGGCGGGCACTCACAGCCCATCACAGAGTGTTCCTGACCACTAGGGGTGGAGCACCCTGCCCGCCCCATCTCCTCTCCACCCTGCCTGCTGCCAAGGCTGCGGGGTTGGCTGTGGGGCCCAAGGACCAGGCGACGGACCCTCACCACAACACTGGCCTGGCTCTGGGCAGGGACCGCCCCATCCCCTCCCATTTCCATCCCTGCCAGATGTCCTGAGCCCTGCAGCTGGGGAGGGTTGGGGAGAGGGTGAGAGCTGAGGTCCTGAGACCCGGCATGGCCTGTCCCCCCACCCTGTGCCACTTTCCACAACCCTCCTGTGGCAGAGAGGGGTCCCTTTCCCTCCAGTGGCCCCTCTCCCTGGCGCTCCTCCCAGCCTTGCCCACGGAGGGTCGGCCTCTCGTCCTGGCCTGGACCATCCCCAGCAGATGGACAGAGGAGCGTCACCCCTGTGCTGTGTGTCACCCCGAGTGTCACTTCCCCTTCAGAGGGCAGTATCCCTGTCCCACTCATTGTTCTCCCTGTCATTCTCACTGGTCCTGGAACGGCAGCCCAGGGTGCAGGCCATGCCCACCCCAGGGGTAAGGGCTGGCGGGCGAGGCTGGGGACTGTCCTGAACCCCGATCCTGACTTGCTGTCACTGTGAGCCCACTTGATACCACGGGCTGGACTCTGTCCGGGCTTGGTCATGGAGAGATGGGGACCCATACTTGCAGGGTTGACCTGGAGGGCTGGAGGGCAGCTCCAAGGGCTCAGAGAGCTGGTGGGCACAGCCAGGCCCCAGGTGAACCTTCCTGCCAAACCCCCGATGGGGCCTTCCCCACCCAGTGCTGGGCGAGGGGCCCCAGCCTCCCACACTGCCCCCTTACCCGCCTGACAGGACTTTAGGGTGCTGGGCTTTTCTCAGGCAGCCTGGGGGTGACGGAGGGAGCCACTTGGGGACTCTCCTTCTTAGCCTCCAGGGGGACCTCATTGCCTCCAGCCCCAGCAGAACCACAGCTCTCTCTCTCCCTTCCCCTCCCCTCCCCTCCCCTCCCCACGGCTCAGCCCCAACCAGACCTGGGGACAGGAAGAGGGCCTGGTCAGAGCGTGTCCGTGTCGCTCTGGCTTCTTGGTCAAGGGCTCACACAGGTACACGCAGACCCCAGATCACACCAGATGAGCTCAGGGTCACTACAGATGCCAGAGGCCGGGTGCGGGGAGCATGTACCCACACACAGAGATGGGTTTGGCCACCCGACACCTACCACCATGCATGGAGGCGCGGTACCTGTGACCACGCTGGTCCAGCGGTGTGGGTGTGGGGCTCGCACCCAGACACACACAGAGGGGGCCGCACCCTCAAACACTGGATGCTGAGCTCCCCCCACAAGCCTCCTGGGTGCCCTTCAGGGCTGGGCTCGGGTGGCGCCCTGGGAGGGGGCTGACACCTCCCCTCCCCCTTGCCCTGGCAGCCTCCCTCCAGCTGGGTGGAAGGTCCCAGCCTGGTGGTCCATTCCCCGTACCATGGGTTGTGAAGGGGTCGGCCCAGCCCCTGGCGTGCAGAGACCAGGTGGCAGGATTCTGGACAGAGACCCCGGCTGGGGTTTGCACACCCCTGGGATGGACCGGGCTCTGGGACCTGGGCCACCCCGGGGCTGGAGTCTAACAGAAATGCGGGGAAGGAAGCAGTAGAACCACAGTGGGTGCCAGCCTGGGTGTGCTTGTATGTTGGTAGGGGGGCTCCCCAGCCCCAGTGCAGGGGGTGGGGGGGATGGCTGGCTGGCTGCAGCCCTTGGGGGCCCCCTGTTGACTAGGCAGCAGCCTGGCCACTGGGCTGTGGCTGGGCAACCTACTCTCAGTTGGAGCCTTCAGGGGCTTTCCCTGGAGCGGACCCTCAGGGGGTCTCTGCCTCCTCCTTCTGACAGGTGTCCTGCGGGGGAGGGGCTCCCAGGGCAGAGATCCCTTTGTCTGGATCCCACCACTGGCCGAACCCCGCTGTGTGGTTTCCTCCGGCGGTGAAGGGGATCCTGTGGTGTGAGAGGGGTCCCAGCGAGGGGACAGCAGGGCTCCGAGAACCCCAGAGGTAGAGGCCCTCCCTGCGCCGGCAGAGGCGGCCTCCTTGGACCCCCCGGCTCCAGCAGGCTGAGGGTGGAAGGCGGGGGGTCCCCGGGGCTCACCTGTGAGAATGGCCACGCTGTCGAAGCAGCCGTCCAGCTTGCTGAGCAGGATGGAGAGGAAGCTGTCTGCGGCCAGCACGCTGGCATCCCGCGTGCTCTGGTCATATACCACCACGTCCTGGGGCTCTGTAGCCTCCACCTGGGGTGTGGTGCGGGGTCAGGGCACGGCAGCACAAGTCGGTGCCCTGCCCCCACCCCAGCCTCGGCCAAGGAGTAACAGGGGTCAGATGACAGAATGGGCAGTTTCAAGGGGAGGGCCGGGGCACACAGGAGCCACGTCCAGGCCAAGGGGCCTGGGGATGGATACTGGGTGGACACTGTGGGCCAGGCCTGTGCCAGGGAGACACAGGTGAGTGTGATGGGGTCCCCGGGGGCACAGGTGTGGCCAGGGCTGGCTCTCGGCGTGTCTGAGGCCCAGGGAAACCCATCCTGAGCCAGGGATTTCGGAGGGGGTGTGCCTGGGCTCTTGGGGGCTAACTGCCCCGCCGTGTGTCTCCCTCCCCCACTGCCCCCGGGGGAATGGAGGGCCCCACCCCACGCCTGGCCGCAGCTGGGGCCCGGGTCCCGCCTGCCCCTCCCACCCCAGGGCCCAGATGTTCAGTGGCTTTGGCTCACACAGCACTGGTGCCCCGCCCCCGGGCATACTCAGCCCTTAAGCCAGCTGAGCCTGGCCCGGCTGGGTGATGTCACCAGCAGCCAATGGGACGGCACTCTGGCTGGGAGTCCTTGCTGGGGGCGATTAATCACCGGATTCCCCTCCTGGAAGCCAAGGAAGCCGCAGGGAGCAGCTTCTGGCCTGGGGGTGGGGGTGGGGGGGGACGGGGGACACACTCCCTGTGGCTGGCGGCCATCCCACCCAGGTCCTGTCACGGTTGGCTCTGGGCGGACCAGGCAGGTGACCCAGCAGCCCCCCAAGCCCTAGGCTGTGGGTGTGTCACCCTCAGGCTCCCAAGGCAGTGGGAGAAAGATGCCATCACCTCCACAGGTCACTGGCCCCCCGTCCCTCCCTGGTAGTTGGACTTCATGGTCCTGGGGAGGGGTGAGTTTCCCTCCCCAGCAGGACATTCCTGGTGGGGAGCACGGAATCCTCGATGGGGGCAAGGCCTCGGTGTGAGCTCCTTGGTCATGCCTCCTGTCCTCAGAGAAGTCAGACCCAGCCATCCCTGTCACCCGTGTGTCCCTGGCAGGGCTGCCCCCTGTCCTGCCCCCAGTGTGTCCACACCTCGCCCGTCCATTCAGGGCTGCTCTCTGAGCTTTGTGCCAGCCCCGGGGGGCAGAGTGCTGTCTTGTGTGGAGAGGCCCAGGCAGGGCAGGGGACTCCAGGTGCGAGGGCCGGGGGGGTGAGCCCAGGAGGTCGCCCTGGGCAGGGACACAGCCCCACGACGGTGACCCCGAGGAGGAGGAGTCCGCTCGCACCGGCCTGTCAGCCGCAGACCCTGGAGGGGTGGGGCCCGGCGGGAGGCACTCGGCCCAGTACCTGGCTGCGCACGGCTGGCTGGATAAGCTCCGTGATGGTGACTTTGCCCTGCTGCAGCCGCCGCTTCACCAGCTTGGAGCAGCAGATATTCACGGAGCTGAGCACGTGCCAGCTGTTGTACTCCACGAAGGAGCGGCTGTCGATGACCAGCGGCCCCCCAGGCCCACTCCGCAGCAGGCTGGCCAGCTTCCTGGCGTCCATCACCTTCCTGGGGAGCTGGTCCCCGGCCATGGTGGGACAGTGGGCGGCGGGGAGGAGGCACCCCTGGCGTGAAGAGGGGCTGCGGCCTCGCGTCGGGAGCGACCTAGCACATGGCGCCGGACCTGCGGGGACAAGCAGACGTTAGTGGCGCTGTGGGTCAGGGTGGCTCCCCGGGGGGCCCCCCAGGACCAGGACGGGTGGGGCCGGTCATGAGCGCTTGCCATGCGCCCTGGGGCCCTTCTCCCTCTGCATGGATGGGGTCTTGTCGGGGAGGGAGAGTCCTCGGGACAGACCTGGCTCAACCCTTGACCTGTTCAGGTCACGGCGCCAGCTCTTGGCAGGATGGCACCGGGGGGCCAGGAGGCCAAGCGGGTCCCAGAGGAGAGGCTCTTGGCAGGACAAGGCCTGGGGCTCCCTCCTCTGGGCCCTGGGCTCGTCGACACACATTCCAAGACCCTGGCCCTGGGATGCAGACCTCGCCCCTCTGACCTCCATGTCTCCGCCATCCCCCAGGCGATCAGCAAGCCAGGGGTCCAGAACTGCCTCTCCCGGTCCCTCACTGCCGAGCCCACTGCCCCGACCTCCCAGCCTCCCTCCTCCCTTGGCTCAGTCGCCAGAGCCCCATCCCTGGGTTCATCTCCGGGGCAGTTCCGTAAGCTGATAATCTGGGCCCTGGGGGATGCCAGGCCTTGGGCGACCTCCATTTTCGAGCAGGCTCGGGGGTGGGCGGACAGGTAGGTCAAGATGCCGGAGGGGTTCGGGCCTGGGGGGAGGCATCTCTGCCCCTGCAGGCCAGGGTTAGCTCACACCGCCTGGGGGCCCCTCAAAGGGTCTGGGGGCCGCTGTCCGGCTCCCGCAGGGGAGTGTTGCACTTGCAGGGGGCCTGCGGCACAGCGGAGGCCTGGGGTCCCGGAGGCTCCCCGGGGCTGGCGGATCCCAGGATGGGTGGGGTGGGGAGGCCCGAGGATGAAGTCCGCTGTCTGGGACCCTCGGGGTGCTCAGCATGACTGCAGGGGCCCCTGGTTGAGGAAGCAGGTGTGACTGCAGGTCTGGGGACTGGGAAGTACCCTCCTGCAGGCTCGGCGACAGGCCTCTGTCACCCTCCCAACTCCTGCCAGGCCCATCTCCCCTGTCACCTGCTAGAACTGGCCTTTCTCTACACCCAACCAAGACCACAGTCCCTGGAGACACACAGTGTCAGGACACAGAGTCAGGATGACCAGTTTGCTGTGACTGTGAGGAAACTGGCCGGGTGCGTAGCTCACGCCCATAATCCCAGCACTTTGAGAGGCCGAGGCAGGAGGACTGCTTGAAGCCAGGAGTTTGAGACCAGCCTGGGCAGCATGGTGAGACCCCATCTCTACACAAAAATCGGAAAATGAGCTGGGGGTGGCGCTGAGTTCCCTGTGGTCCCATGAACTCGGAGGGCTGAGACGGGATGATCCCTTGAGCCCAGGAGTTCGAGGCTGCAGTGAGCTCAGACTGCACCCCTGCACTCCTGCCTGGGTGCAATGTCTCCTAGGTCCCTGTCTCTAGAATCAGATTTCTGAAATGGGGAAACTGAGGCGGGCGGGAACCGACTCAAAGTCACACACAAGGAGACGGGTTGGCTTGCAAGGCCGATCTCCCCACATCCCACAGCCGCCCACAGCCGCCTTTTGATTCGGGTCTTCACCCATTCCCACCCAGCTCAGGGTGGGGGAGGTGGGGAGACAGATGCCCCCCGGGGAGAGAGGGGGCCATGGCTGGCAAAGGCCCTTCAGCAAGCCCTCAACCACAGCCACGCAGAGACCCGGGTGGGCACCCTGTGGGCATTCTCACTCTGCACACAGCAAGGCTGGGGACAGTTCAGACACTCCATTTCTAGACCCCAGGTCCTCTCCCAGGCTGACAGGGGGGAGGAAGAGCCCGCAGGGACTGCAGGGAGGCGGGGCCCGCCCCCAGCCCCACCTGGCCCCACACCTGCCAGGGAGTCCTGGCCCCCAGCCTGGGTTCTCCCCTCTCCAGATACCCAGGCGTGGCATCTGTGCCCGTTCCCACCACCCCTCTGGTGGCCAGAGGATCCCAGGTCCTCCGTGTGGACAAGCCACCTGAGGCAAGATCGCAGCTGACTCCTGGCGCACGTGGCCAGGGGCCTGGGAGCCCAGTCAGACGCCCGGGCGCGGGCTGAGCTCCTGCATGATCCATGAAGGGGCCCCTTGCCTGCTGAGGGGGTTCCTGTCTGGTACGGGGATCTCTAACCTGCCGGGGTCTGGGGGTGGTCCCTGAAGTGCGAGGGATCCCTGCCTGCCAAAAAAGATCTCTGCCTGCAGTGGGGCATCCCTGGCCTGCTGAAGGGGTCCCCGATTTAACCTCTGTATAGGCTGTTTTGGAAAGTTCTTCCTGAATTCTAACCTGAATCTGGCGCAGGCGGTGGCAGGCGAGGGCCACCAGGTCCCCTGGGCCTGGCAGAGAGAGGTGCTTGGCCCCCACACGATGACCCTGTGGCCTGGGCAGAGCTCCCGCCCTTGGACAGCAGGGCCAGCAGCCCAGCTCAGAGGTTCAGGACCCTGAGAGGGCTGCGGTAGCAGGGACATGGGGGCTGGGGTCTTTTGTGGCTCCCTGAAAGCCTCGACATCCTCCTCAGCCCAGTGGGGTGACTTATCCCTCACCTAAAACAACAGGAGCAAATGGAACTCCCAGTGCAGGGAGGAGGGCGGGTGTCGGCAGAGGCCCCCACCCGCCCTGCAGCTGGCAGCTTTCATGCAGCCCTCAAGTCCCCACACCACCCTGAGTGATGCCAAGAGGCCAGTCAGGTCAGGAGGGCAGCCTGAGACCAGGGACACCGAGACCAGAGAGGGCAGGGAGGCTGGTCAAGTCGGAGGGAGGCCTGAGACCAGCGATGCCAAGGTTGCAGAGGGCATGGAGGCTGGCTGGGTCAGGAGGGAGACCTGAGATCGCAGAGAAGGAGGGGGCAAGGGCAAGGGGCTGGCGGGTGGGCTGAGGGGCTCCCAGGGCCGTACCTGGTCCCCGCCCTACCCAGAGCTGCCGGCGCTGGAGCGCGCCCCGTTCACCCCCCACCGTATTGTTATTTGCAGCCGAAGGGGACTCATTAGCAAGTTAGCACCTCCGCCGTTGCCACGGCAACAGCAGAGGTGCCAGGCAACCGCTGCTCTTGCGGCAGCGCGGGCTCCACCGCAGTGGGCAGGGCGCCCCGCCACGCTTCTCCCACCCACCCCGGCA